TCTCTCTCTCTCTCTCTCTCTCTCTCTCTCTCTCTCTCTCTCTCTCTCCCAATAATAGATAAATGTATTGATTTAAACTATGAAATCCATCTTATGATGTGTATATACAATTATTTATCTTATAAGGAAAGGGCGTTAATAATGTTCATGTAACTTGTGCCCAATCCTCTTGCATTTATTTTTTTTGGCAATAAAATATGTTTAAACTAAAAGTACTCCTGACAAGACGAGAGTATGGAAACAGTACTCCTGACAAGACGAGAGTATGGAAGCAGTACTCCTGATAAGACGAGAGTATGGAAACAGTACTCCTGACTAGACGAGAGTATGGAAGCAGTACTCCTGACAAGACGAGAGTATGGAAGCAGTACTCCTGGCAAGACGAGAGTATGAAAAACCGGATGTTAGAAACATGTTCAATTATTCAAATAATCCCGTTTTCGTTGTTAACGGTGAAAATGGACCCCTGAACGTTATGACATCTTTTCATGTTCAATTTTCAAAATTGCCTTAGTTACATATTCATCGCTAAATGTGGACCCCAGAACTACATATGACACCTTTCGTGTTTAATTTCAAAATTTCTCTGATTCCATATCCTGCGTTAAAAATGGACCCAGAACATGATCCCCAGAACATGATCCCAGAACATGATCCCCAGAACATGATCCCAGAACATGATCCCCAGAACATGATCCCCAGAACATTCCAATTCTTAATTTCTAATGGTTCCAGTTCCATATCCAATTTTGAAAATGGACATCACAACATTGACATATTTATGTGACCAAAGTAGCGCCGGTCCTTATTTAACGTTACAAATAGATCCCAAACATATTTTGTCACACTTATTTTCAAAATGTTGAAACAGACTAATTTTATGATTCTTTAATAATCTAAAGCTTATTTTTTGCAGCCGTCAAAATGTGTTTTCTTCGCTAAAACTATGTGGGTGTTCCTTGTTTCCCCCTCTAAATCTGTGTTGTCGTTTTGCTGTGACTTAGGGTGACAACAATATCTGTTTTCTATAGCTCTCTCAAGTTTTACTGACGCTCGATTCGGTTTCTTGGTACAACTGTACATGTAACAGATCTTGTTGATTTGTATAACCCATCTTTGTTTGCGATTTCTTATTTTCATTTCCAACTACATAACACATTACTTTTTGGCTTCATGGATATATTAGGGGTTACGTGGCTGTTGCATGGCGAAATATTCCGAACAAATAATGTGTTACAATACGTAAAATATCAATCGTATGCCTAAGGGGTTCATTGACTTTTCAGGGGGATTCATTTTCATCGGGTGTATGAAAATAAATCTGTATCAGTATTTATTTTCACCGGCTCTTTGGTTCTATATTCAATGTTGAAAACAAACCCTAGTTATATTTCCACGGGGATCCGTTTTCAACGTTACCAATGATAAAGGCTGCCGCTTTATGCCTCTCCACTATATCACGGAGACATGAATGCATGTGCTGAAAATAAACCAACCACTAAAATATGTTCGTTAACAGTACTTTAAACTGGAGAAGTTCCCGTTTGTTTACACACAACTTTACAAACTACAGACATGTAAAAAATGACTTTTTTCTCTCCATTTGTCGACTTTATTTTCACGTGTAATCAGTAATGACACCACTTACAATTATGGAAATTGATTTCATCGTTATCATCCATATTGCCAATCAGTCTTTACGCGCCTACAACCCAATTACATTCACTGGTAATGCGCTATGAAATGACCGTATATTCCAGTTATATATCCAATAATCTCACATAACCTGTCATAATCACACGCCCAAATCCACTGTGTCCAGTTCATCAGCGCACACAGGACCGATTTCATGTTTATATTGCACGTGAGGTGAGCGCGAGTGGAGTAGCACATACAATATCACGTGACGCAAACAGCACGGTCAAAACTAAAGCTACCTGACGAAGCTGATTATCCAAGAGAAAGCGTGAAACAGACAAGAGAGCGGCAGAACCTATGTATCTGTGAGAATTATCCTTATCAACTATGTTATGTGATTTCGCCTGCCAGTTATATACTGCGCTGTCGTAGGCCTACATAGTAACTGGTGTGGGAGGAGATTAAACTCGGAGCTACACCAGTGTCGGTAGAAAACCCCACTCACTCACCGCCGGCAATTGCGGCTACACAGCTGTTTTTCAAGATGCAAGTAATTTTAATGTGAAAAAATAACTTCATTGATATCCTTCTTAAGTGCCCGTGTTATATTACCTAAGCACGTAGTCCGACGTTGTATGTGGAGTTTATTTCAAACTTCTATGGAGATATGTATGCTATGTGAAAAGTTTCGGAAGTGATATTTAAATTACATCATAAAGCTCATATGGAATTTTATATGTTATCATCATAAAAGTTAAATTACACGTTTGGAGTTATACTACGTTTATCTTGTCAACAATGGCTTCGGGAACAGCAAACGAGGAGGCCAAGGCTTCCCTCACAGGAAACCCAAAGACCAAGAAGAAAAGTGTACAAATTATGGATACTAGGGACGAAATAGTTGAGGTTACAGAGAAGCATGGCCCACTCTACAATGCTATCCCATGTATGCCGATTGGAGCGGCGGCCGTATGCTGCATACTAAACATACTGGTACCGGGTCTTGGTAAGTCGGACACAACTTTATACATGTATGTCAGCATTTTTATATTTACACTTTCAGGGATTTGGTTGACTTCTTCTTTGATTAGATATGGGATTTCTAGAACATGTGGGTATATTCCCTTGCAGATCGATCTAAGTGATCTTAAAAGTTCTAAAACCAGCCATGTCTGAATTGAAAAATTTATAAAAAAATTATTTCTGCTATATCAGTATCTATTTATTTTTTCATAATGGATATGCAGACATAATGTATTAAGAAAACTTAACCTGGTTTACTTTTTGGTGAGAGTCATTTAGAATACTTCAACCATGACCGCGCTTTCCACCTGTAATAAGAATAAACTGTATAAGTGCAGTTAAAGCGTATAATCTTTATTGTAAAAAAAGTATTAGTGGGGAAAACATAGCGATGACATGGCTGATCATGATCAAATGACGTTTATTAAGAAATATGGACAGCTACATAATATATATAAGCTGTGATAATTTGACATAGCGCTAATGAAAAACTTCATTCGATTTTAGCTGCATTTCGTAAACACTTCACCCAGTGTTTATTAGTTTTTCATGTTTTGGCGATAACAGATGAGTTGTTTACCTCAGTAACCGAGTTTCAGGTGAGCCATTATTTGAACGTCAGCTGCCAAGCATTATATGTACACACTTCAGATGCCAGACCTATTTACCGTCTGAGGGTGTAAAACCCATTCCCCAATGATTTCTCCGAAACAAAGTAGATTTCTACATCTCGTTTTTATACGTAAATCACATCGATAAGGCGTTTTGGGATGATCTCTACGAGCTGGTGGTATTCTTGGAACAGAATGTGTGATAAGAAATGGTTACATATACACAGTGTTTGATGACACCGAAACGTTTACATATAATTTAATGTGTCTGCTCTAGTCCCAAAATTTCATTCGATTTGGCACTAATCATTAGATAACTATAAACTAAAACAATTTCTGACGCAGGCTTGGAAAAAAAAGGATCCAAAAAACTCATGATTAAGGGTAATACTTCATGACGAGCTGCCGAAACAATGCCTTAATCTCGAACCAAGGCCGTTGCAATCGGTTTAATACCGTAAGCGGCAGAGCGACAGGAGCGCGTGAACCGCGTCAGATAGAAATATCTGGTGCTTGTTAGCGCCAGTCTGCATGGTCATTAGGGCGAGTTATTACCTCAATAGAGTACAAGATCATGACTTGCCAAGGTCAAAGAATTGTTGAGTGCTTGGCCTCTCGTTCTCCACTTTTGATGTTATGAAGAAACTAAGATACAGTCCTTACATCATTGCGACGGACATTTTGATGATATAATCTTAATTATTACACAATGTGATAATATATTGATTTAAAACTTTCATGAACCTTTTCGATTAGAAAATGCATTTGTATACATATAAAAACATATGTTACGGTATGAAATTATCACTATGTATTTATATGACAATTTAATAGTTTAACAAGATGTATTCAACAGTCCCCTAGCTTGGACTATTTCCAATCATCTAGTAAAGGATGTACTTTATTTTAGGTTTGACTGTACGATGGAAGAACACTAAAGTATTGCCTATGCAACCTATGTAAAATCACTGTCCTATACAATCATATTAAGCCACCGTTGTTTTAAAGTCAGCAATGTACAAGTCACATAAAAGAGTTCCGTCCTGTGAAATTCATACCGAAATATATTTCAATGTCATGAAAGGGTATTACTATACATGTGACCGGACTGGCTGTCTTCTTACTCGATCTAGTTAATGACACTAAAGTGAGATGGCATTGTAAAGTGGTCCTTGGGTGGAATTAAGGGGCAAAGACTAAAACAAAAACAAAAGGTATCTCAATGTGCCAATCACACCCAGCTTTTGTCATGTATAAGTCATACAAAGGTATGACCATGAGTTAGTCATACAAAGGTATGACCATGAGTTAGTCATACAAAGGTATTATCTGAATAATTCGTACACAAGTATTGGCGTTTCATATAATGTTATTGCCCGGCACAAGCCATATAGGGTATGGACCTCGTGTCGTGATATCGCCATTTATAAATCATACACAAGTATTACCTTTGAATGAAAAGGGTCATGCACAGGTATTATCGCCATTTTGATAGCGTTCACGTGTATTGCTCTTTATAGGTCATACCTTGGTATTATTCCTTAAAGGTCATTTAAAGGGATGTATTGCCAAATTAGAAGTTAAACACAGACAGGTACTGCACTGTACAAGTCATACGGAGGTATAACACTGTACAAGTCATACACATCTACAGGAACTGCTCTGTACAAGCCAACCATATGTATAACACTGAACAAGTCATACACATGTACAGGTACTGCTCTGTACAAGCCAACCATATGTATAACACTGTACAAGTCATACACATGTACAAGTACTGCACTGTACAAGTCATCTATATGTATTGCTCTGTACAAGTCATTCATAGGTACTGCACTGTACAAGACATACACAGGTACAACACTATACAAGTCATACATATCTACAGGAATAGCACTGTACAAGTCATCCATAGGTATTGCTCTGTACAAGTCATACACAGGTATAACACTGTACAAGTCATACACATCTACAGGTACTGCTCTGTACAAGCCAACCATATGTATAACACTGTACAAGTCATACACATGTACAGGTACTGCACTGTACAAGTCATCCATATGTATTGCTCTGTACAAGTCATTCATAGGTACTGCACTGTACAAGATATACACAGGTACAACACTATACAAGTCATACATATCTACAGGTACTGCTCTGTACAAGTCATCCAAAGGTATTGCTCTGTACAAGTCATACACAGGTATAACACTATACAAGTCATACATATCTACAGGAATAGCACTGTACAAGTCATCCATAGGGATTGCTCTGTACAAGTCATACACAGGTATAACACGATACAAGTCATACATATCTACAGGTACTGCTCTGTACAAGTCATCCAAAGGTATTGCTCTGTACAAGTCATACACAGGTATAACACGATACAAGTCATACATATCTACAGGTACTGCTCTGTACAAGTCATCCAAAGGTATTGCTCTGTACAAGTCATACACAGGTATAACACGATACAAGTCATACATATCTACAGGTACTGCTCTGTACAAGTCATCCATAGGTATTGCACTGAACAAGTCATACACAGGTACAACACTGTACAAGTCATACACAGGTATTGCACTATACAAGTCATACACAGGTATAACACTATACAAGTCATACACATGTACAGGTACTGCACTGTACAAGTCATACACAGGGATTACACTATACAAGTCATACACATGTACAGGAACTGCACTGTACAAGTCATACACATCTACAGGTACTGCTCTGTATAAGTCATCCATAGGTATTGCACTGAACAAGTCATACAAAGGTACAACACTGTACAAGTCATACACATCTACAGGTACTGCTCTGTATAAGTCATCCATAGGTATTGCACTGTACACGTCATTTATAGGTATTGCACTGAACAAGTCATACACAGGTACAGCACTGTACAAGTCATACACAGGAATTGCACTATACAAGTCATCCATAGGTATTGCACTGTACAAGTCATACACAGGTATTACACTATACAAGTCATACACAGGTATAACACTATACAAGTCATACACAGGTATTGCACTGTACAAGTCATCCATAGGTATTGCACTGTACACGTCATTTATAGGTATTGCACTGAACAAGTCATACAAGGTATTGCTCTGTACAAATCATATAAAGATATAGCACTGTACTAGTCATGCACAGGTATTGCTCTGTACAAATCATATAAAGGTATAGCACTGTACAAGTCATACACAGGTTCTGCTCTGTACAAGTCATTCATAGGTATTGCTCTGTACAAGTCATATAAAGGTATAGCACTGTACTAGTCATAAACCTGTACTGCACTGTACAATACATACACAGGTATAACACTGTACAAGTCATACAACGGTATAACACTGTACAAGTCATACACAGGTATTGCACTATGCAAGTCATAAACAGGTATAACACTATACTAGTCATACACAGGTATTGCTCTGTATTAATCATATAAAGGTTAAGCACTGTACTAGTCATATAAAGGTATAGCACTGTACAAGTAAAACACATGTACTGCACTGTACAAGTCATACACAGGTATAACACTATACAAGTCATACATATCTACAGGTACTGCTCTGTACAAGTCATCCATAGGTATTGCACTGAACAAGTCATACACAGGTATTGCACTATGCAAGTCATAAACAGGTATAACACTACACTAGTCATACACAGGTATTGCTCTGTATTAATCATATAAAGGTTAAGCACTGTACTAGTAATATAAAGGTATAGCACTGTACAAGTCAAACACATGTACTGCACTGCACAAGTCATACACAGGTATAACACTGTACTAGTCATACACAGGTATTGCACTGTACAAGTGATATACAGGTATAACACTGTACAAGTCACACACAGGTACATGTATAACACTGAACAAGTCTTACATATGTATTCCACCTTACAAGTCACACACAGGTATAACACTGTACAAGTCATACCCAGGTATAACACTGTACAAGTCATACACAAGTATAACACTGTACAAGTCATACACAGGTATAACACTATACAAGTCATACATATCTACAGGTACTGCTCTGTACAAGTCATCCATAGGTATTGCACTGAACAAGTCATACACAGGTATTGCACTATGCAAGTCATAAACAGGTATAACACTACACTAGTCATACACAGGTATTGCTCTGTATTAATCATATAAAGGTTAAGCACTGTACTAGTCATATAAAGGTATAGCACTGTAATAGTCATACACAGGTATAGCACTGTACAAGTCATACACAGGTATAGCACTGCACAAGTCATACACAGGTATAGCACTGTACAAGTCATACACAGGTATAGCACTGTACAAGTCATACACAGGTATAGCACTGTACAAGTCATACAC